GAAATGTCTGCGCCTTCAAGTTCCAGGTTGTGGCTAGCAGGGAACGCTAGCAAGATGCGAAGCGTCTCGTGCGTGGCCACCGGGGCATACGTGTTGTCCGGATCGTAGTCAGTGAATGGCTTCTGCTGATCACCACGTACAGAGCACGTCGCCTTGTGAAGGACGTCCCCGACGTCGTCAAGCGGCTTGAGTCTGAATACCCAAGTGAATGGGACTGGATGCATATCCACAGTCCGAGGGATAAATATCCATGTCCGACGTTCGACAAGGGCATCGAACTCTCTGTCAATGGCGGCGGCCCAGTTTGGGTCTTCACAAGCGCGTGAGAAGAACGCCGAAGAAGCGGGTCGCGCATGGTTTTCTTCGACACGAACGCTGTAAGATGATGTGTTAAGGCTGCAGTGAGCACAGATATCAACTGCTCTTCCCTATCGTATTCGCCTTCAATATCGGGAGGCTGCTCTTCGTGTGGAAATGTTGGTTGTCCGAAGGCATCGAGTTCCATTTCACGGGAGATACCATCCATCAATGTCGACATACTCGGTAGATGCTCCGAGTTGTCATGATGGAAGTCTTGTGCACTTGTGATGATTATCTTCTGCGTGAACGGAACGAAGATGCGAAATAGAGTGACTTCACTTTCCATACCCACGAAGTGTCCAAACACGGTGCCATGAAGAAGCTTCTTCTGGCGAGTGGTCTTCGGTCTATAGATGATCGCATGTCCTTTCTGCCCAAACTCCGGAACCATTGTGGGATCCATCCGAGTATTGGGGTTCCAAGCCAGGATGGGAATGTTACCCTTGATGCACTCAGAGGGGACGCAATTGCGGAGGCAGTTGCCATGATTTATGGCCTCTCTCCATAGTTTGAGAGGTAGGTCACTCGCAAAGAGAAGAACTCTTGCTCTTACCCAGTGTTCTTGGATAAGTCGTTCTGCAGATCCGTTGCTTTCAGAAGCCTAGGCAGGAGAGTAGGCAAGCTTGATGCCGTAATGGTGACTGAACGCCTTGATGTCTTCCTCTTTGTTCTCCCCACCCCGATCCAGGTTAATGTTCTGAAGCAGAAGCTGATCGTTAACCTCAGTCTGTGAGCGGTTGCGATACCATTGGAGATGTCTATATGTCCCATTCTTTGTTGTGAGCATGAATAAATCAGACTTACCGGTGTAGTCGTCCAGTATTGCAAGTGTGTAGGAGTTCTCAGCGACACTTGGAGTCACAGGACCTAAAATGTCAATGTGAATCAACTCCAGTGGCTGTTTTGTGATGAGTCCACTTTTAGACAAAGGAGCACGATTGTAGCATAAACACCCTCACGGAGAAGAGTGTTTGCTCACAGCTCGACGGAGACCCCTGATCGACGGAAGACAGGGAAGGAAGCACCACTCCCTATCGGAACCGGGCCAGCCCGGGTAGCGTGGTAGAGCGGGACCGGAGGTGGTCGCGCGTGCGTATGAGCGGATCGACGCCTCGACGCCCCGGCGCGGTACTGGGTAACGGTCCAGTACCGACGGGCGGAGGCGGATCTTGCTCGCCGCGCGCGACCACTACCCGCGGGGCTCCGTACTAGGCAGACGCGAACGTCGCTCGCGTAGTCTGGAATAAGCCGGCGGAACCTAGGTGGTAGGTTTTGGACAAGCCCGTGTTTATCCTCTCCCCTCCGCCGTCGGTCCGCTCATATTTAATATACAAACCTCTATAATAGCACTACAGTACCGAGGTACTGTAGTGGCCTACTGTAGTGCAGGTCGGCCTGCCCTGCACGGTGTCAGCATCGGTGCTGACAGTACACGTGGTACCCGTGTGTGCGCGCTTCGTACGCGCCGGGTACACGTATGCACGTGTGCCGTGGGGCACACGTGGACACGCACGGTGGTACTGTAGAGCGTCGGGCTCTACAATAACTAAATCAATCGTGATCTAATCTAAAGAGAGTCCCCCAGGGGGGGTTATGCTACAACGATGAGCTTTCCCTTTTAAGCAAGGGACGCAATCGAGTTGCTGAAGGATGGACTTTTCAAAGAACAGAACAGATTCGACTGCATGACAAAGCTTGATGTAGCTGTTAATGCCAAGGTGGCCAGTCTTCCCATGCCACTCCAGGGCAGGATTCTTGTTGACGTTCATGGCGAATGTTGTCAAAGACATGTTTGATTTTGAATTGTTCATGTCGAGAGTGTACAATCCATTCTTCTTCTGGGTTTCTCACAAAGTCTTCAAAGTTCCTTTCTCCATTAGGAAGCATGCATTGTATGGACGGATGTCGTCAGTAAACGCAACAATGAAGTTAGAACTTAGGAGCCCGGCTGAGAGAATATTGGAAGAGAAGTGAGGAGCATGGTAAGCTTCGATGACCATGCCACCGCCAAGCAACTTCTCCTTGGCCAACAAGTCTTGACACACCAGATGCAGCCATGACATCTTGTGAAATACGTGAGTAGTTGATGAACGATTTTCGAGAATGGAAGAAATGATGCGTAGCACCGGAGTCAATGTGCGCGCAGGACCTCTTCGTGCTGGACACTTCAGCAATTTGGCTTCGGAAATCGAAGTCGATGTCTTGTAGTTGCACCATGAATCTTCTTGGGACTTCGTCGTCCGCTTGAGCGAAGCGAGTCGAGGGGCGAGGATATCCTTGGGTTCGGTGATTGTTGCTACTCCCCCAGCTGCGAGTAGAGCGGTCAGCATTGTTGCGGATAGTGCCACGAGGAGGAACAGCGTCCGGAAGTGGCGTGCCGAAGTGCCCATTTCGATTGAGACGCGATGAGGGACGTCCTTGAGGCGCCTGTCCACTTCCAGACCCCCCGTCCCTTAATCGGTCCCGACAGTCATTGTAGAAGTGACCCGGAAGTTTTCAGTAGTTGCAAGTGCGCTTGTCCACTCGACCTCCGAAGGTTCCTCTTTGTCCAATTCGTCCACCTCTGCGACGTCTTCCGCGACCTCTACCTCTTGAACCACGACTGCCTCTTTCCGCGAAATTGGCCTTAGGTTGAGAAGTGATGTTGTTACTCGACTACTGCATGTTGTGAGGATTACATCAACGTGCGATCTCGGCTTGTACAGCATTGACAATCTTGTCGAAATTGAGGTCCTGTAGACTAGATTCCATAGCAAGAGGCGCAAACGAGGATGGCAGAGAGCGGATTAACTTGGAAGTTTTCTCCGACTCAGAGAGCTCAGCGTCATATGTAGCTAGCTCCCCAACGGTAGTTAATAACGAAGCATCATGCTGGTCCCAGTTGCCATTGTCTTTGAAGATTATGGTGTCTAACTTTTGTTTGATGTTTTGCACCACTTGAGCGTTTGACATGGTAAAAATACGCTCAATTCTTTGCACAGATCGGGGGAGGTCTTGTCATCGTCGTCCATAAACAGGCGTGTTCGGGACGCGACGGCGTCACCAAGGCAAAGAATGATATTGCCTTTTGAACGGGCCGATCGCATTATCCAGTCCACGATTGTAGTGCTTGAAGAAGCACCACGGCCGGTGAGCTTTGGTTGCAGTCTAACGAGAAGTGGGTCGTAGCGCTGAAGATAAGCCTTCATCTTCCTGCGCCACTGGATGAAGTCAGACGGGACTTTGAGCTTTGGTACTTTGCTCAGGGATTCACCGCCTTCACCATTACTTGACATAACGGCGAGTTGACCAAAAGCTACACAGAAGTGCTAACAGTAGTCGCTAAAATGAGGGGAGCCAAATTCAAACCGTACTTAGCAAGCATTCAGGTTAGATCGGCACCACCAAAAAGAAAACAAAGACACACAAACTGAATAAATTGTTGACCAAAGTTGTCAACAGTAGTTTTGAAAACGTGGGGTGTGATGAATCGCGAATCAAAATTGATGCGAACCTTTCGGGGAAGAGATGCACCGAAGTGCCCAAGATGATCTCCAATGTTCGTTGTCAAAATTGACTGTGATAAATAGTTTCTACAACCTTCACCGATGTTGGCAAATATAAATGTAGTCGCCGAAGAGAAATAAAACAGCCGAAAGTGGAAACCCCAACAACTCGAAGACGCAAAAGTAAAAGGATGTAGGCAGTAGGTCAGAAAGCACAAAAGATAGGCCAAAATGACACAGCACCCACAGGCAACGACAAAACCCCTATGATTAATAGCAAAAACGACAAACACTTGACTAGACTTGAATGGACTTGTTTACTAGGCTTGAATAGACTTGACTAGATTTCCAAACTTGATTTCCAACTTGAGCTTGAGATGACCTTTGGAAAAGTAGCTCGATTGAAAGCAGCGCCGAGCGAAAGTGTGGCGGCGCTTACTCTAACGTCGAGTAAAGAAGCGCAATGCACGGCCACGGTCTTGCGTCGGAGCACCAGTCTCGAGATAGGAAAGCAGAAGAAGCGTAGTAGTTGTAGAGAAGTGGTTGACCGATACAACGAGGTGCGACGTACTGTGGTCCGCAGACACTTATATCGGTTGCATCTGCAGCTCGTAGTAGCAGTGGTGAGGCGCGGTGGGAGGGTGCAGTGAAGGAGAGAGGAGGAAAGCGCGGGTCGGTGGTGGTCTTAAGGGCGCAGTGAGATCGTTCCTCACCGCGATGCTACCGTGAACGAGGTGAGCAATAAACGTGATCGAGAGCGTGTCCCTATCCGATGTGAGGGGGCGAGCTGTCCCCGGTCACACAACTTTATGTCATCCAGTCCGAGACTGGTGGGCGCGATACCTCGCCGCCGTCGAGTGTAGATTACTAATTATTAGTTAAATCTACGATGGTGCGCATACAAAATTCTCCCTTTTGGTCCGACTACATTCGTTGCCCAATGCCAGCCGTCCAAGTATGGACGGCGGCGGTCCGGAGCGTTCTTATTGGACGAAATGGCTTTCGCCACCTCATGGCCAAATGCCTTATGATATGCCTATCTTGGCACAAATAAAGCCCCTGAGAACGGTGGCCCACCTCTCTCAAAACGACCAGGGAGAACATGCAATTCTCATAACGTCCCTTCTGGCACTTCTGGCACTGACAGAAGTCAAATATGGTGGCGGGGTTTATGTTAATGGGAGTATCGTAAGTCAACTAACACTGGAATCCCAGTTTCACGGCCCTCACTGCTGACAAACTTAGGGGTATCTATGAACAAAGTCCTATTCTGAACTGCCTTCCTGTCACATGCAAGTCTCACTCTGAATCGTCTAAATATCTCAGCGAGTAGAAGGGGTCCCTCATAATTGGCCAAGAATCTTCCAGCGCAGTTCATCTGCCCCAAGCTGAATGGATTGAAAGCCCCAGCCGGAACTCTCTCTACTCCTGGGCCCTCAGGTCCCGAAATCCATCGCTCTGGGACAAACTGTTCCCCTCGTTTCCATATCGGTGCCTTTCTCTGGCTTCGTCGAACCTGTCCGTGTATCTCTGTACCTTTCGAAACATGTACACCACTCCCTTTCAAAGTCACATTCTTCGCCGCAACGCGGCTTGTACTCGATCCGCTTGGATGCAGCCTGCACGTTTCCTTCCAAACGCTTTTGATGTACTGCAAGCTTTCAACATCTTCCATTGCCAAATACTCGCCCAATGGACGATCTCCAACTCTCTCCTTCAATTCCTTTTCGATACTGTCAGCGGCCTTTTGGGCACCACAAATTTCGTATATACACCATGAAAGCATCTGGTTAATAGAATGTGAGCCAGTCAGGGCGAACTCAACTACGATAGAGGTCATTGCTTCCGCAGATTGGTCTTCCAAGGCTATAATTGCGTCTAACATATCCGTCTTCCGCTCCTCTTTCTCTTTGGTAGTTTCTTGCTTCCGTCGCTCGATGAATTTGTTACAAAGTTCGTAAACTCGATTTCTTGTCTTGTAAAACCTCTTCCTTGTACCAAACCATGCAAATGCTTTTCGAAAAGGCGATCCCATGTATTCATACATCATCTCCTCCGTGAAGCAGTTAACGACATCAGCGAACGCGACGCGCTCCTCAAGGGGCATATCCGAACCAAACGCGACGTTTGTGATTACCATGAACGTTGCCATGGCAAACGGTTTCGAAATATCGACAGGCTTCCCACTTGCAGCCGCGGACTCGAGTTCTTTGCACAACTGTCTCACTGCGTTAATCATGGCCTGATGAAAGCTGTGCAACATTTTGTGATTAAAACTGTCCCTCAGCCTTCTTCTGACGATGCGGTGCTTCTCAGCAGGCATTGTGAACAAGCCACCCGGGGAAGCAAGCTTAAATACATTGCGAATTTTCTCAGGGCGGGGGAAGAGAGCGGGGCTTGATGTGATGTGCACGATGTCCGCGGGGACTGAGGTGACGACAACACGTGAGAAACCGAGCCAGACAGCGAAAGTATCTCCGTAGGTGCGGCCGAGATGGTCCATACAGTCTGTGAATGTACGCGGGTCAGTCAGGAGACGGCGGACCGGACCGGGGCTAAGGGAGGAGATGAGCCAAGGTCCCGGGATGGAAGAGATTGCCGCCTGATGCAGAGTGTAGTGGATGAGGAGGAAAAGAGGAGGGAGAAGGATGAGAGGAAGAAAATCGGGAACGGGAAAGGAATACATGAATGCGAAAGAGACTGTGTACATGGGACACCGAGGGATGTCGTCGTCGTTTCGATGGGATGGTCTAGCTCGACACAGGGACTAAAAGTCAGATGTGTGCAAAGGGGCTTTTGGGCACGACGGAGAAGAGATGAGGAGCTGAGAGACACAGACATAGTCGTCCGGAACGATATGTAGGCGTCAGAATTACGCCGCAGGGCGTCCATTACAAGAGAGGCGCGAGCCTGCGCAGATATCGGCGAAATTGCAAGTGCAAGCGGGATGTGATGGCGGCCTCGGGAGAGAGAAGTGCAGTGCGTCGGTGGGGGTGGAGCTCATGAAGAAGGTGGCTTTCCAATTGCTGTACATGGAACGGAGAGGCCAACTGAAGAATGATTGTCACTCAGAGAGAGTGTGCAGGGTGGTTGGCGCCTTGCTTTGGTTAATGAGCGGTGAGTGGAGCGGACGTGTGGTGGCGTGAGATTGTTGGGTGAGAACTATTTTCGGACTTCTTGCGCCCCTCGTTTATGACACGCGGGCAACAATGAGGTTTTAAGTGTCCCACGCGGGATAGAAGGTGGCTGTTCCTCTCCCCGCGGGATCTTCTTCAACACAAGAACTTTCTCGTCGCGAACAAGGCCTGTGTGCACAGTCAACGGTAGAGACGGATGATGAAATACAGTGCAATAGATCAAATCAAATTAAAGCTCTCGCTGAACATCGGCAGCCAATGAGACCGTTGTCCTTGCGAGATCGGCATGCCATACACGATTTGTTCATCACTTGCTCCCAGCTTTGCATTTCATCACCTTTCTCCAACGGCCTGGCAATTGTATCAACTCTCTGATGCTGTTCACGAATCTCGGATCTCCACCGTGTTGCGTGGCTTGATACTGAAGTGGTTACGCATGCTCGGGTATGCACGGCGAGCACTGTTCCATCCGTGTGCAAAATTTTCTCATAGTATTGCGTGGCATTCCAAGTATCCCCCACCAAAAAACAAGTAGGGCGTTGTCAAGCGTCAACTTTCAAATACAGGTTCTATACATCTCTATAAAACCTACAACTCTCACCACAGTGAGAGGCGTGCACCATCTTAGTCCCCGATCAGTTTTTGCCTTCCCTTTTTTCCTTACCAGTTCAACAAACGCGTGTAGACTCCGAACAGATGCACACTTGCTCTGATGGGCTTTCGGAAAGAAAGCGGGAACTCGACCAATGACCGCATCTCAAAGCAGCGTGGTGCAGTGCCCAGGAAAATGATATACGTCCAAAAAAAGCTCAGCAACTGCTCAGAAGATAACAGCATTCAGTTGCTGATCTTCTGTTCAACGCATTCAACGCATGCAGACTCTTCCACTAGGAGTTTTCAGATATATTTAGACAAGCCACTGCTACATTCGTTGTACAACTGGGTCTTTAATATCAATATGGTGCTGGCATTCAGAGTATGTTCGATGATGGCAGGGAAACGCCGCCACAAGCTTCCCCATAACGAGATTTAAACGCATCAATTTTTTCCATAGACACACTGCTATTATCCCTCATGAGATAGCCACTCACACCTTCTGCAAGGGATAAGCTGGATGAAATCGCTGATGATTAGAAACACACATATATATATCGGCAATATTAGTTCCACAACAAACATTTAGGAGATAGCTTATGGCCGCGCCTCCATCTGTTTCCGGTACTGGGAGCAGAAACACCCCTTTCATTCATCATATTAGGCGAACGACAATGTATACTTGGGAGGGTTGTCACCCATAGAAATCGCCTCGTTTGCTTTGGTCTTCTTTGCATTTGTGAGTCTCCGACTGCAACCCAGGGAAGAGTAGGCCAAATTATGATTCCGCTCTTTGAGAACAGGCGCAATTTTTAGCATCGAAATTAGTTCGTTTGCTAACCTTCACTGTTTTCTGCAGGACTTTTATCCCTGGCCGACTCAATCTACTACCCTCGAAATCAGCTAATAACGAAGAAGCCCTATACACTTAGCACACTTTGTTTCCCATCCAATCGTGATCCAAAATGGCTTCTATTATCAAATTGAGGACCGATATGAAGCCTGTCTTAAGCAAAATCATTCAAATCCTCTTTCTGTCAGTAAAGAAATTATGAGCAGAAAGAGTGTTACCGTATCACCTGCCTTACTTTTTCGATTTCGAAAATTATATGGTCTATTGTAGGAGACTTTCTTTACTCATCCTGTCTAGGTCGCCTATACCCACACAAAAGGCCATGCATATGATGGTCAGCATTGAAAAAGGAGTCCAGGATGAAGGTACCAGTCTTTTTCAGCTTCGCATCAGGCTTTGAAATCATACGATAAGGTGCCAACGTACAGGTCATACGCCTTTAATTCGAGATCACAGTCACAAAGCCTACATTATTCGCGACGAAAAACTAGTACCGAAAAACCCTCTTCGAGTCTTACTGGCCTTGCACGAGTCTTTAGACAAGTGCACAAAGCCCTATCGCAATCGGTTTGAGGTGCCAAGGTGAATCTATGCCTTCGATACATTTCAGCTAAAATAAGTGGACCTACGTAGTCCGCAAAAAAACGGCCCATGCAGCTGAACTGCCCAAGCCCATATGGCACAAAAGCACCTGCTGGCACTCGCTCCCCTTTTGTTCCCTCAAATGAATTTCCCCATCTCTCCGGCTTGAAAGCATGCGCATCCTTCCAAACGGACTTGTTTAAGTGACAGCCTCGAAGCTGTGCATGTATCTCAGTCCCCTTTGGAACAAGAATACCACTTCCTTTGAGAAGAATATCTTTTGCAGCAACCCGGATATCGCTCGTGGCAATGGGATGTAATCGGCATACTTCCTTCCATACCTTGCTTAAATAAGACAACTTCAGGACATCTTTCGGTGAGAGCGGAGACCGAAGGGAGAAATCACCCAATTCCCGAGTCAGCTCTTTCTCAATCTTATTGATGATGCGGGGTGAGCGACAAATCTCGTAGATACAGGCAGAAAGGATCTGGTAGGTGGTATGCGAACCGGCTGTCACCATTTCAACAATGAGGGAAACCGTCGTCTCTCTAGAATGCCCTTGCAGGTCAATGAAGGCGTCGAGCACGTCTGGATTTCGAGATTCTTTCTTTGATTTAGGTTCCCGCATTCTTTGATTTAAAATTCCCTGGCATGCTTCGCGAATTCGATCCCGGCATTCATACATTTTATCCCTTGATCCGAATCTGGAGAGGGCTTGGCGCAGCGGATATAGGACATACTCGATCATCATTTCCTTTGTAAGATGCTTTGCTGCCTTTACAAGTTCAAGGCGCTCGTCCTGCGCCACATCGGCCCCCAAAGCAACATTGGTCACGAAGCTTGTCGAGGTAGCGGCAAGTAACTTGGATATTTCAACTGGGGTTCCGCACGCGGCATAATGATCAAGTAGGGTACACAGCTCCGAAATGGAGTGTGTCATTAAGGAGCACAAATTTCGCAGCATGTTGTGGCTGAAGCTGTCTCGCAATAATTTCCGGCAGATCTGATGCTGTTCAGTCTCCATCGAGAATAAGCAGCCCGGTGCAACCAGATTGAATACTTGTCTGAACCGTGCCGGCCTCGGGAACATCTTCGCATTGAAGCTGATTTGGACGATGTCAGATGGGACAGACGTCACGACAACTCGAGAAAATCCGATCCATACGCCAAAAAAACTGCCGTAAGAAGAGGAGAGCTGGTCCATGATATCTGTGAAAGTACAAGAATTGCAAAGGAGAGTACGAATGAGAGCATTTGAAGGAAGAGCAAGAAAACTGGGACCAGGCAGGGACGGATAAGCTGACATGTGACGCAAACGTGTTAGAACAAAAATTAGAGAGAGGGACAGAAGGACAGCGACGATGTGGAAGAAACTTTTGAAGGATCCTTGGATATTCAGGACATCCATAGCGTTTTCAAAGGGTTCGGACTCGCTGAGAGATAACAAAAGAAACTCTTGCGAAGACTTTGTTTACCACGTGATCCCAATGACTTGTAGCTTCTCGGATGGGAGGCATCGTGATCCAACACAGAGGTTTATATACTGGGAGTGTGCTTGACCGCGGGCGCATTACATTTGAACACGCCGTTCAGTAACGTCAAGACAAGCTTTCCTTCTTTTGCAGCCGTTCGAATATTCTCGTTCGGACTCATCAGCTGAGCAAATCTACGTAGCCATCCCTAATGTCGTGTCTTACGAGCAATCGAGGAACCGAACATCTTGTACATCCAAAACGGACCAAATACGTCATGGTGTACGGAATGAGATTCTGGTCAAGTACTTGAAAAAGATGGATCTCTAAGGCCTCGTGGTGTTACACCCGTGAACGCCAAAAGTGTAAAAACAAAAGAAGAAGATGAAATCATACTGTACCCAAAGAGGTTTATAATAAATAGTTTTACGTGAAGCAACATCACTACGTGAATGCAGTTCAAGAAAACTGAAACGGCCCTCCCAAATCAACAAAGATGCCATGTGAAAATGCTCGTAACCAGCTTGAAAAGTTTACAGCACTTGTTAACTGCGTTTGCTTTGGGCTTCAGTTTCTACCGATACAACGCAAGGTGGATTTGCACCCGGAGTTGCACCTTGCGGCCAGCTTTTTAAGGCCCAGGCTGGCCTGGCAAGGGAAATGGTTCTAGGTAGCACATGAGTAGATAATTTAAATCTGTGTTGACAGGTACAGTAGTTATTCAATGGCTTCATTAGACCTGAACCAGGAAAAATTCAAACACCTGCCCCTAGACATCTACAACTCTTGGGAACAGGAGCAAGGGTTTATATATTGCCAGATACTGGAGCCTGCTGTGTGAAGAAAAGATGGGGCAGAGAGAAGGACATTGAAATCAGTCTTCACCTTCTCCCAAGACGAATTCGACAGAAATGTAGTATTGCGAAACAGTGGAGTGGATATAAGAGTCGTGATCTGCAGTAGGTATTAAACAAATAGAGAAGATCTAAATGAACTAAGCAGGTTGTACACCTCAACAAATTTCTGCAAATTAGGACTCAAGACTGACACATATGGCCGCTACACTCACTGTCGCAGTTGACTGGCGGCAAAACAGGATAGTCACGGTATAAGAAACATTGATACTTAATAACTGCCGGCGCAGCACAAAATCGAATTTAGTGGTCGGCCTGCTCCCTTATATGTCTGCTGTTTCCACTTGCTGTTTTTGATCTTGAGAGAAGATCCTACAGTAGTTGAAGAGCCCTGCTTGGCAGGGAGACATGTCCATACCGCAGTTACACATTACGGTGGGACCATCGAACTACACAGTTCAGTAGAATACGAAGACAAGACTTGCAAAGAAATACAAATTCATATATGATTCAGATCGGATAACTGGGAGGTTGGCTTGCTGTCTGCCGCGATACAAACATACGCTTGTCCGCCTACGACGTGAGCGAAAGACATAAATTTACAGGACATGACGTGCACCCCGGTTAACTCCTCAAGTGAGTAGAATCAATTCGCCCGCACTGATCCGTCCTTCCATGCAGTACTGTACACTGCGGTTACGGAAAAGCCGATTTGTCGGAACTGTCTCGTGGCCGGGAAAAAAGGGCGGAATTGCATTGCGGTAAAGTTTAGGCTGGTGTGGAGCAGAATGGAGTTCGGAACAGTTGCCTTGTGTCACATGCGTAGAAAGCGCATCTATGTTCGATAAGTATAGCATGTAAATGTGTTCAGTATCACTGTGTTACTGTACGAAGGTACTGTGCCATTATGTTCATTAGTCATCCAAGATGCCGATCGAATTGAATTGTCCTTTGGACACGCAGACGATTTCGAAAAACCCCTGTATGGCGCTGTATCGAGATGTGTTTCCATCGCAATACTGTAACTACAAGCAGGACGATAATATTCTGATCTATACGTATCGGCTTCGGCAATAGCGAAGGTCGTACATTGTAGCGAGAGTTCAACGTCCGTAATTTAGTCTCTTTGTACTCTCACCTAGGTTTGAAGTGCCCTGCTAGCATAATATGATTCAAAAGTGCGGTGCCCTTCACGGCTTTCAAAGCCTTATGAAACCCCTACAGTACACAAGCAATTTTGTGTTCGCACTCGAGAAGGGGAGCTGTCTTCTGGCGCCCTTGCACAGTATCAAGCTGCGCCGCCGGTGATACCCTCGCTAATACTACTGTCACCAACCACACAAGGACAAGAAATCATGGGCTTTGCTTCATCCATTCACTAATACTGTATGTGCGGTATTACAACGAATACTATGCATTGTGAGTGTGGTGCAGGAACGATACCCTTCGTTTACTCTCTGATCCGGCTCCCTCTACACTAGTTAGAGCTAAGTACGACGGCCATTTGCCGTCGTAGGTGACACTATGTGCGTGTGTGATGTGTACCACGTGTGTACGCGTACAGGTATTATCACATTGAGAGAGCAGAATGATGAATCGTAAGAGCAAGGCAACCAGTACGCTAATTTATAGCGCACATTTTTAGCCATGCAGCGCTCTAAAGAGTGCGCAACACAACAAGTGCGTCGCCATATGTGACGGCCCGCAAGGGGCCGAGTATTAGCTTTTCCCAAGTATTTCGCCAAGACAAGGGGTCTGAAGCACGGCGCATATAGCACTCGAAAGATGATTGGTTATAGTGATTATGAAATATCGATGAATTCTGAGTGATCGCGTGCTATATCCATTTCTATCCTGCGTCAGGAAAGAAACGAATATAGAGATAGGTGCTTCCAGATAGCAACGGAAAAAAGCGATTAGCGCACCAGTTGACATGCCAACAGGGGAAAATCTCTAAAATTTCAAAATTTAGCGCACTGGTTGCCTTGCTCTAATCCTCATGGTTCTGTCTTTACTCGTCGTCGCCGTCTCGTGGGTCGAAGTGCCGCGTGTGACAGACTATAATGCGGACAGTCTGTCCTTGCGGTCCGTGACGCGTGCACCCTTCAGCGTCTGATGAAGAGAGTTGCGGTCCGTCAGTCCCGGGGGACGCTGAGGGGTGCGCGCGGAGGTGAAGCTGGGGTGTGCTCTTGGATCCGGGCTGAGGGTGCCGTTTGGTCGGATGTTTTGGCACAGCTCCTTGAACCGAATGCGGCCTAGCGCTTTGGTGAATAGGTCGGCGGGGTTGTGCACTGTGGGGATGTGCTCTGCTGCTGTGTTCGCGCTCTGAATGTGGTGCTGAAGGTGGTAGTGCCTCACGTCGATGAGTTTGCGTCGACGTGTGGGGGCCGAGTTTTCGGCTATCTGGATCGTTGATTTGTTGTCTATGAAGATGGGAGTTGGGTGTTTTTGGGGGTGCTGCATGTCCTGGAGCAGCCGGCCGAGCCAAAGTGTTTGTTGAGCTGCGCGTGAGGCTGCTATATATTCAGCTTCACATGTGGACAGGGCCACGACGTCTTTCCGAGAAGAGGTCCATGCTATCGATGAGTGCCCGATTGTGTGGATAATTCCTGTGAGTGACTTGCGACTTTTCGCGTTTGCGTAGTCGGCCTCGCTGTACGTTCGGGGGCAGACGGACGAGCTGGCGTGGTACGAAATGGTTTGGGCTTTGGTGCCCTTGAGGTACCGTGGTAACTATCTTAGTTGATGCCAGTTTGCTTGAGTCGGTTGCTGGCTGTGTTGTGTTAGTTGGTTTGTCGTATGATATGCGTCATATCGAGTGCTGTCGACAACATATCTCAGATCGCCGAGGATGGAGCGATAGTGACTTGCTAGACTGGGAGAAACGGGTGCCATCTAGTTCAGTGTCGCTTTGTTTGGTTTTTGCGGTTCGAGTGTGGTTTTTGGGTTGCATTCGGCCATGTTGTGCTTCTGGAGTATAGTGTCGATGGCCTGTTGCTTTGATACGTGTATTATGTCGTCTGCATCTCGTGTGATCTGCCAGCCGAGATACGTGGTTGGAAAGCAGAGGTTTTTGATGGTGTACTTCTTTTGAAACGTGGCCAGGAGGTCGTCGATTAGGTGTTGGTGCGACACGGTGACTAAACATAGTCCATGCTGGCGGTGACGAGCAGCATGCTGTTGGCCTTGACGGTGATGAACAGGCAATGGTCACCGTCGCATTGGAGGTAGCCGTGCGATTTTAGGTGTTTTTGGAATCCGTATTTGTAGCGATGTCCTGCTGAACGGCCTCCGTAGAGGTTGCCGAGAAGCTGTCTCGCTCGGTGTGCATGTTTCATTGAGCCGTCAAATCGTGGGGGCTGGCGGACGTAGACGGGGAATTTCGGGTCGTGAGACTCATGGAGGTATGCTGCGGTGATGTCCATGTATTGTACGGGCCATTGGTTCGCTGCTGCGATTGCGAGTAAGGTGCGTACTGATGTCTTTTCGGCCATGAATGTGGATGTTTTATTTGGGTCGAAGTGCTGTCCTGCCTTCATGCGGTCTCCTCGTATGGAGCAACGGGCTTTGCGTTTGGCGATTTTGCCTTCCAGTGTGCGCTTGTACCGGTATGTCATTGTTAATGGGATGAGCGTCTCATCGGGCGGCACTTTTGTCGCTGGGATCCATTTGATAGTGCGCTGTTCGTCTAGAGTGTCTAACTCGTCGTTCTATGCTGCTGCCCATTGTTGGGCGTCAGGGTATTGACGCACTGCGTGTACGTGCCGGGTTGCAGTTGTGGTGGCGTCGAATGTGCTGGGCGGTGGGTTGTGTCGTGTTGGTGTGTGTAGTATATCGACGACGTAATTAGATTAGAAATTGGATCCGGCGCTGTAAGGCACGAGCCTTACAGGCCACCAGCGCGCACGTGTACCCCACGTGTACTACACGTGTCTGACGCGTGTACCAGCAGCCCACCGGCAGACGGGGCGCACTACTGTAGCGCCGTCGAGTACAGTACGTACTGTACTACGTTATGATAGACGGTTTTGTAACATTAAAGACAGGGGCGGACCGACGGCGGACGGGGGCGACAAGCACGG